GTTTTTCTGTATGTGTGTCTGTGTGTGTGTGTGTGTTTTAAGTTTTTCTGTATGTGTGTCATGTGTGTGTGTGTGTGTGTGTGTGTGTGTGTGTGTTAAGTTTTTCTGTATGTGTGTCTGTGTGTCTGTGTGTGTGTGTGTTTAAGTTTTTCTGTATGTGTGTGTCTGTGTGTGTGTGTGTGTTTAAGTTTTTCTGTATGTGTGTCTGTGTGTGTGTGTGTGTTTAAGTTTTTCTGTATGTGTGTCTGTGTGTGTGTGTGTGTTTAGTTTTTTTCTGTATGTGTGTCTGTGTGTCTGTGTGTGTGTGTGTGTTTAAGTTTTTCTGTATGTGTGTCGTGTGTGTGTGTGTGTGTTTCTGTTTTATGTATGTGTGTGTGTGTGTCTGTGTGTCTGTGTGTGTGTGTGTTTAAGTTTTTCTGTATGGCGTGTCTGTGTGTGTGTGTGTGTCTGTTTTTGTATGTGTGTGTGTGTGTGTGTGTGTGTGTGTGTGTGTGTGTGTGTGTGTGTGTGTGTGTGTGTGAGACAGTGTGCATGTGTACAGTATACTGTATGTTTGTATTTGATCATGTGTTATCTCTATATACAGTATATATGTATATGTATGTAATGTATGTATGTTTCTGTCGGGGTGTACATACCTCTGCATGTCTCTCTTTTCTTTGTGTTTCTCCTGTTAATATTCGGTGTTATGCTTGTTGACAATGACTGCATGACAACAAGGTGACAGTGACTGCATGACAACAAGGTGACAGTGACTGCATGACAACAAGGTGACAGTGACTGCATGACAACAAGGTGACAGTGACTGCATGACAACAAGGTGACGTGCATGACAACAAGGTGACAGTGACAGTGACTGCATGACAACAAGGTACAGTGACAGTGACTGCATGACAACAAGGTGACAGTGACTGCATGACAACAAGGTGACAGTGACAGTGACTGCATGACAACAAAGTGACAGTGACAATGACTGCATGACAACAAGGTGACAGTGACTGCATGACAACAAGGTGACAGTGACTGCATGACAACAAGGTGACAGTGACTGCATGACAACAAGGTGACAATGACTGCATGACAACAAGGTGACAGTGACAATGACTGCATGACAACAAAGTGACAGTGACTGCATGACAACAAGGTGACAGTGACTGCATGACAACAAGGTGAATGACTGCATGACAACAAGGTGACAGTGACTGCAAGGTGACAGTGACTGCATGACAACAAGGTGACAGTGACTGCATGACAACAAGGTGACAGTGACTGCATGACAACAAGGTGACAGTGACTGCATGACAACAAGGTGACAGTGACTGCATGACAATAAGGTGACAGTGACAATGACTGCATGACAACAAGGTGACAGTGACTGCATGACAACAAGGTGACAGTGACTGCATGACAACAAGGTGACAGTGACTGCATGACAACAAGGTGACAGTGATTGCATGACAACAAGGTGACAGTGACTGCATGACAATAAGGTGACAGTGACAATGACTGCATGACAACAAGGTGACGTGACTGCAGAGCAATGTGACAGTGACTGCATGACAATGTGACAATGACTGCATGACAACAAGGTGACAGTGACTGCAGAGCAATGTGACAGTGACACAACAAGGTGACAGTGACAATGACTGCATGACAACAAGGTGACAGTGACAATGACTGCATGACAATGTGACAGTGACTGCATGACAACAAGGTGACAGTGACTGCATGACAATGTGACAGTGACTGCATGACAACAAGGTGACAGTGACAATGACTGCATGACAACAAGGTGACAGTGACTGCATGACAACAAGGTGACAGTGTGACAACAAGGTGACAGTGACTGCATGACAACAAGGTGACAGTGACTGCATGACAACAAGGTGACAGTGACAATGACTGCATGACAACAAGGTGACAGTGACTGCATGACAAGGTGTGATAATGGCTGCATGACAACAAGGTGACAGTGACATTCTGTCAACAAGGTGACATGTGACAGTGACAGTGTGACAAGCCAGACCAATACAGTAACAGGAGTAACATTATACAGTACATGACACCTTGACAATAGTGTGACAAGAATTGATAGTACAGTCAGGCCAGAACAGTAAGGTGACAGGAGCGTGACAGGGCGTGACAAGATCGGGAAGACAGCGTGACGAACTCAGGAAGTGGGAGGAGTGTTTTTATAGCACAGCTGTCTCCCTCCCCCCCCTCCTCGGTCTGTCACCACGCCCATCACCACTCCTTCGTGTACATGTAAGCTCTGTGTGTGTGTGGGTGTGTGTGTGTGTGTGTGTGTGTGTGTGTGTGTGTGTGTGTGTGTGTGTGTGTGTGTGTGTGTAAAGACATCAATAGTGTATCTTCCACCTCCCCAAATCAGTGTCATGTCAACTATTTTGATGAATATTGGGTTGTATATATACCGTATACACATCATAAACAAGTATACTCACTACAGAATATACACAAACTGTCTGCCGCAGAATCGACCAGCGCTCAGCAGCAGGAAGACCCGGCCCCCGTACTCGATAACCTCTTCGGCTTTTTTTTTCCATCTTCGTGTTGGAAATAAACCGCTCACCATTTCCGTTTACCGAGAACAGATATTAGACTCTCTATAATAAAGTGTACCGGTTTTTATAGCACTTTCCCTTTCACTGTGTTGAGAATGTTGGTGATGTGTGAATGTGAGTGGTGATAAAATACGGCTTTTACCAATTCGGCTGACTGATGCAACGCCAGGCAGAGTACGAATGATATAATACGGTGAAACAAATGACACACGAATAATCACTTTTCGTGGGTTTTTTTTTGTATTTGGAATTAGAATTTAATTTGTTATTTTGTTATTAATTTTTATCCGATTTTATTCAGAAAATTAGGTTTAGTTAAGGTAGAGTCTTAGTGTAATTTAAGTTAAGGTAGAGTCTTAGTGTTATTTAAGTTAAGGTAGAGTCTTAGTGTTATTGTAGTTAAGGTAGAGTCTTAGTGTTATTTAAGTTAAGGTAGAGTCTTAGTGTTATTTGAGTTAAGGTAGAGTCTTAGTGTAATTTAAGTTAAGGTGGAGTCTTATAGTGTTATTTGAGTTAAGGTAGAGTCTTAGTGTTATTTAAGTTAAGGTAGAGTCTTAGTGTAATTATAGTTAAGATAGAGTCTCAGTGTAATTTAAGTGCCATTGTAACAGGTCAACTCAGGCGGCAGTACAGTACAGTATAAAGAAAGTGCCTCTGAGAATGTGGCAGTGACGTACTGTACTCAACCAACAGGACGCCGCCATGTTTGTCACTGGGATCAAATATTTACTTTCTCTTGAGTAGGACGAAATAGAAAGCGATTAATCTTATGGTGGCTACTGGTTCTCTTGTTTTATATTACCTTTGTTTCTTTTATTGAGGATGACTTTATGTGAATGAATCTATTTATTTTACTCTGTGAATGAATCTTGGTCTTTATAAGCAATAAGATTCCTGCATTATTTACAGTATATCATCCTACCATTTCATCAGCATTAAGGTCGTCCGGGCGGTTGTTGTGTTCTTTGGTACTTAGTTATGACCTTTGTTGTCCAGTACAGGAGTACCTAGAGGAACCTTGCCACAGTTGCGAGGATCACACTGGATTACACCCTTCCCACGTGTGTTTCGGGCCAGGACTCAAACCCAGAACACGGTGGGGAGAGATACGTACATTATCCGTTGTGTTGTACCGTCTGTGGGGAGACATACATACATATACATACATACCATACATACATACATACATACATACATACATACATACATATAGAATACAGTGCACCTTTTATTGTGATGTAGACATGTAATACTCGAGATAGATAAATATAAGGCTATATTACACTAGAAATATTAATTGATATTGATATGATAAACTTAATTTTCTTAGTCATATAAATACAGTACAGTTATACAAACAGTACAGTACACAAACGCTGCCAGTACTCAGAATCAGTTAACATTACGGTGTCAACCTAACTTAACCTAACCTCTTGTGTGTTTTGTTTTTGTGAAAGGAGGGTGAAAAAAAGATTAGAGGTGGGGAAGGAAGTTATAGTTCAGAAATTGAAAGGAAATTTAGGAGGGGGAGTAGAGGGCGGGCTGACCGCCTAGCTAAACTAATGGTGTGTTAGGGTTGTGTCATGGGTTAGTTATTGTCTGTCGGTACAGGCTCTAGACATCCTACCCTGTCCCATATATGGGTGTTTTGAGAACTGATACCATATTCCGCCGACCCTACTGGCGGATGCTGGTCTAGGGAGGTTGTCTATTGCCTGGCCGTGTAGATCGGGGGTAATGAACCTTTGAGATTTGGTAACTTTTGGAGCCATGTGTGGTTGTTGTCGTTATCTGGTGGGAGTCTTTGAAGGAGTTCTTGCTCTGATCGTTCTATCTTTTGCCAGATTCTGTTGGGGGTGTGCAGCTGCTGGTTGATGGGTTTTATTCTGGGTCTCTATCTCGGCTGTGGTTCTGGTGAAGGGCATCTTTCACCTGTGACGAATCCTAGGGCCTTCATTTTGGACCACCTGTAATGTTAATATTTGAGTGGTACTCATAGTATGAAGAGGTACTGCTGGGTAAGTTAATATCAGTGTGATAAATGATGTCACCAGGCGGGTTTTATTTCTCAGGAAGCGCTTTAAAGCGGTATAGTTTTCTCAGCTCTCTTCTTGCCTTTTCCTTCCTGGTGTGGACATGATGGGGAGTAACCTGTCGTGGATATATGTAGGCAGGAGGGTCCCCCTGCTCTTGTATTCTATCTGGGCATTATTGGTTTACTAATGGATGGGTTTTCTTGCATAAAATTATCACTGTGAATTTCAGGGAGACTGGTTTGGATTTTCATTGTTTTCTTAATTATTTGCCTTTCTAATTCCGCCTGGTGTTGTCGACCTGCTCCGATTTTCCTTGATGTGTTGTTATTTGGTGATGTCATCTGCATACATATATCTTCGTTACCTATTCTAGTGAGGGGTATTACAGGTCATCTGACAGAGAAGTAGGAGTGATGGGCTGGGTTGACGGTTGATGGGAGGGAAGGAGGTCAGGTGTGAGATGGAGGCTGGGTTGACAATTGATGGGAGGAAGGAGGTAGGGTGTGATGGAGGCTGGGTTGACAGTTGATGGGAGGAAGGTGAGGTGTGATGGAGGCTGGGTTGACAGTTGATGGGAGGGTAGGGTGTAGATGGAGGCTGGGTTGACGGTTGATGGGAGGGAAGAGTCGGGTGTGATGGAGGCTGGGTTGACAGTTGATGGGAGGAAGGAGGTAGGGTGTGATGGAGGCTGGGTTGACAGTTGATGGAGGAAGGTAGGGTGTGATGGAGGCTGGGTTGACAGTTGATGGGAGGGTAGGGTGTAGATGGGCTGGGTTGACGGTTGATGGGGGGTGTGATGGGCTGAGTTGACCGGTTGATGGGAGGAGGTAGGGTTAGATGGAGCTGGGTTGACGGTTGATGGGAGGAAGGAGGTAGGGTGTGATGGAGGCTGAGTTGACAGTTGATGGGAGGTAGGGTGTGATGGGCTGGGTTGACGGTTGATGGGAGGGAGGTAGGGTGTGATGGGCTGGGTTGACAGTTGATGGGAGGGAAGGAGGTAGGGTGTGATGGAGCTGGGTTGACGGTTGATGGGAGGGGAAGGAGGTGGGGTGGATGGAGGCTGGGTTGACAGTTGATGGGAGGAAGGTAGGGTGTGATGGAGGCTGGGTTGACGGTTGATGGGGAGGAAGGTAGGGTGTGATGGGCTGGGTTGACAGTTGATGGGAGGAAGGTAGGGTGTGATGGAGGCTGGGTTGACGGTTGATGGTGGGGTGTGATGGAGCTGAGTTGACAGTTGATGGGAGAGGAAGGAGGTAGGGGTGTAGATGGAGGCTGGGTTGACGGTTGATGGGACGGAAGGAGGTGGGGTGTGATGGAGGCTGGGTTGACAGTTATTGGAAGGAGGTAGGGTGTGATGGAGGCTGGGTTGACGGTTGATGGGAGGGAAGGTAGGGTGTGATGGAGCTGGGTTAACAGTTGATGGGAGGGTAGGGTGTGATGGGCTGGGTTGACCTTGGTTGATGGGAGGGAAGGAGGTAGGGTGTGATGGAGGCTGAGTTGACAGTTGATAGAGGAAGGTAGGGTGTGATGGAGGCTGAACTGACGGTTGATGGGAGGAAGGAGGTAGGGTGTAGATGGAGGCTGGGTTGACGGTTGATGGGGAAGGAGTAGAGGTGTAGATGGGCTGAGTTGACAGTTGATGGGAGGGAAGGCAGGGTGTGATGGAGGCTGAGTTGACGGTTGATGGGGAGGGAAGGAGGTAGGGGTGTAGATGGGCTGAGTTGACAGTTGATGGGAGAAGAGTGAGGAAGGTGAGAGTGTGATGGGCTGAGTTGATGATGGGAAGGAGGTAGGGTGTGATGGAGGCTGGGTTGACCGGTTGATGGGAAGTGGGTGTGATGGAGGCTGAGTTGACAGTTGATGGGAGGAAGAGTGATGGAGGCTGAGTTGACGGAGTTGATGGGAGGAAGGTAGGGTGTGATGAGGCTAGGGTTGACAGTTGATGGGAGGAAGGAGGGGGTGTGATGGAGGCTGGGTTGACCAGTTGATGGGGAGGAGGTAGGGTGTGATGGAGGCTGGGTTGACGGTTGATGGGGAAGGAGGTAGGGTGTGATGGGGCTGGGTTGACAGTTGATGGGAGGGGAAGGAGGTAGGGTGTGATGGAGGCTGAGTTGACAGTTGATGGGAGGAAGGTAGGGGTAGATGGAATGAGTTGACAGTTGATGGGAGGAAGGAGGTAGGGTGTGATGGAGGCTGAGTTGACGGTTGATGGGAGGAAGGAGGTAGGGTGTGATGGAGGCTGAGTTGACAGTTGATGGGAGGTAGGGTGTGATGGAGGCTGGTTGACAGTTGATGGGAAGGAAAGAGGTAGGGTGTGATGGGCTGAGTTGACAGTTGATGGGAGGGAAGAGGTAGGGTGTGATGGAGGCTGGGTTGACGGTTGATGGGGGGTAGAAGGTGTGATGGCTGGGTTGACAGTTGATGGGAGAAGGTAGGGTGTGATGGACTGGGTTGACGGTTGATGGGGGAAGGAGGTAGGGTGTGATGGGCTGGGTTGACAGTTGATGGGGGAAGGTAGGGGTGTGATGGAGGCTGGGTTGACGGTTGATGGGAGGGAAGGAGGTAGGGGGGTGATGGGCTGAGTTGACAGTTGATGGGAGGGTAGGTGTGATGGAGGCTGGTTGACGGTTGATGGGAGGAAGGTAGGGTGTGATGGAGGCTGGGTTGACGGTTGATGGGGAGAAGGAGGAGGGTGTGATGGAGGCTGGTTGACAGTTGAAGGCTGCTTGATGCTCGTCGTGCTGTCTCGTTCCTGGCTGCTGTTTGTGTGTGGAGAACGTGTTTGTGTGTGTGGAACGTGTTTGTATGCAGGGAACGTGTGTGCATGTGTGGTTTTAATTGAAAAATAGATTTTGTGTATGTATATCTGTGTGTGTGTGTGTATGGCGAGGTACAGCGGACGTAGAGAAATATAAGACAGACAGACAGGCCAGACAGTTATAGCAGAGTGTTTAGACAGACGTAAGGGCAACATGCTGAACCAAACAGGCTTTGAATTGGGAGTCACTAATCCGAAATTCTGTCAGTGTGTGTCGACCTGAATATTTAGACTCTGTGTTTGAATGATGAACAGGTGAGCTTAATTGATTTTCTTGTTGTTCCTTTCAAGGCATGACCTCCCCCTCACCTCCTCCCCACTATACTACACCTCCTCTACCCCTCACCTCCTCCCCCCACACCTCCCCCCACCCCCCCCCCCTCCACCTCACCTCTCCCCCACCCCTCACACTACACCTCCCACCCCACCCCCCCTCACCTCCTCCTCACCCCTACACCTCCTCCCCACCCCCCCTCCCCTCTCCCACCCCTCACTACACCTTCAGTCCCCCCCCCTCCCTCCCCCCCCCCTCCTACCTCCTCCCCACCCCTCACCCCGCTCCCCATCTCCATACCCATCCCACCCCGTACCTCTCTTCATTCCCACCCCTCCACCACGCCACACCCCCTCACACCTACACTCCCCACCCTCCTCACATCTCACTACCTACTCCCACACCCTCCTCACACCTCACCTACACTCCCACCCCTCCTCTACACCTACTCCCTCTCTCGTCCTACACCTACACTCCCCATCGTCACTACCTACACTCCCCACCCTCCTCACCTCACTACACCTACCCTCCTCACTACTCCCCCACCTCCCTCACACGTCACTACCTCCTCCCCACCCTCCTCACACCTCACCTACACCACCCCCTCTCATCTCACTACTACTCCCCACCTCACATCTACACCTCTCCCTTCCTGCAATCACCGCGACAGGTGAGATATTACACCTATTAAGTGAGCAATAGTAAGTCATAGGACCATAACATCATCCGGCGCCTTCGTCAGTAACTGTGGAGTTGATAACTTTTCTGGCGCAGGTGTGTATTACACTGGAGTGTGGGTGTGGGCGTGGTTTCCTGTGTTGGGTGAAAAGAATAGGGAGTGATTGGTAATAAGGAGAAGGTGTGGGGAGACAGTACGAGTGTTAGGAGGTGTAAATGGTTTTGGAAGAGTGGGGAATGTGTTGGGGGTGAAGATAGTGTGTTGGGGGTGGGGGAATGTGTGTTGGTGGAATGTGGGTAGAGGTATGTTGAGAGTGGGAATAGTGTTGGGGTGAAATAGTGTGTTGGGGGTGAGAATAGTGTGTTGGGGTGGGGAAGGGTGTTGGGGGTGGGGGAATAGTGTGTTGGGGGGGTGGGGGGGAATAGTGTGTTGGGGTGGGGAATAGTGTGTTGGGGGTGGGGAATAGTGTGTTGGGGTGGGGGAATAGTGTGTTGGGGGTGGGGGGAATAGTGTGTTGGGGGGGTGGGGGAATAGTGTGTTGGGGGTGGGGAATAGTGTGTGGGGGTGGGGGAATAGTGTGTTGGGGGTGGGAGAATAGTGTGTTGGGGGTGGGGAATAGGGTGGGGGGGAATAGTGTGTTGGGGGTGGGGGAATAGTGAGTTGGGGGTGGGGAATAGTGTGTTGGGGGAGTGTGGGAATAGTGTGTTGGGGTGGGGGAATAGTGTGTTGGGGGGGTGGGGAATAGTGAGTTGGTGGGGAATAGTGTGTTGGGGGGTGGGGAATAGTGTGTTGGGAGTAAATAGTGTGTTGGGGGTGGGGGAATATGTTGGTAGTGGAATAGTGTGTTGGGGGGGTGGGGGAATAGTGTTGGGGGTGTGAATAGTGTGTTGGGGTGGTGAATAGTGTGTTGGGGGTGGGGAATAGTGTGTTGGGGGGGTGTGGGAATAGTGTGTTGGGGGTGTGGGGGAATAGTGTTGGGGGTGGGGGAATAGTGTGTTGGGGTAGTGTGGAATAGTGTGTTGGGGGGTGGGGGGAATAGTGTGTGTTGGGGATGGGGAATAGTGTGTTGGGGGGGTGGAATAGTGTGTTGGGGGTTTGGGGAATAGTGTGTTGGGGGGTGGGGAATAGTGTGTTGGGGGTGGGGAATAGTGTGTTGGGGAAGGTATCGTGAATGACTTACGTGGGGTTGATGGGCGTAAGTGTGGGTTGAGTGTCGTGTATGTATGTGGGTTTATGTATGTATGTATATGTATGTATGTATGTATGTGTTTTAGCTCCCCTTTCCTTTATCGTGACATGACTGGTAAAAGTGGCAAGACAATGGTATAATTCATGGTACAGCCCAGATTAGTAGTTAGAGTGTTTTAACTACTCTTAAGGGTTGTTATAGAGATACGTATAATTAACGACGAAGGTATCCGGCGTTGGTGAAGTAAGAGCAATGGTCTAGCGAGGATCTGTAGTCAGGCTGTAGTAATGCACACACACACACACACACACACACACACACACACTAACTCAAGTGAATCTGTAGACTGTGGCTTATAAATCGTAATAAATTTGTTTATTTTTTGCAGATCAGTCATCATGCGCCTGGCAGTGGTGTTAGTTGTGTTGCAGGTAAGATAACTTCATTAGTGTTGCAGGTAAGATAACTTCATTAGTGTTGCAGGTAAGATAACTTCATTAGTGTTGCAAGATAACTTCATTAGTGTTAGAGAAGATAACTTCATTATGTTCAGGTGTTAACCTCATTAGTGTTGCAGGTAAGATAACTTCATTAGTGTTGCAGGTAAGATAACTTCATTAGTGTTGCAGGTAAGATAACTTCATTAGTGTTGCAGGTAAGATAACTTCATTAGTGTTGCAGGTAAGATAACTTCATTAGTGTTGCAGGTAAGATAACTTCATTAGTGTTGCAGGTAAGATAACTTCATTAGTGTTGAGGTAAGATAACTTCATTAGTGTTGCAGGTAAGATAACTTCATTAGTGTTGGAGGTAAGATAACTTCATTAGTGTTGGAGGTAAGATAACTTCATTAGTGTTGCAGGTAAGATAACTTCATTAGTGTTGGAGGTAAGATAACTTCATTAGTGTTGCAGGTAAGATAACTTCATTAGTGTTGCAGGTAAGATAACTTCATTAGTGTTGGAGGCTGTGGGAAATGTAGATAAAAAATTTTTGCTTGCATTATTTATTTATTATTATTATTATTATTATTATTATTATTATTATTATGTAATTTCTTCTTCTGAATCTTCTTCTAAATCTTCTTCTTCTTCTTCTCTTTCTAAATCTTCTTCTTCTTCTTCTTCTTTCTTCTTCTAATTCTTCTTCTTCTTCTTCTTCTTCTTCTTCTTCTTCTTCTTCTTCAAATCTTCTTCTTCTTCTTCTTCTTCTTCTTCTTCTTCTTCTAAATCCTTCTTCTTCTTCTTCTTCTTCTTTCGTCTTCTTCTTCTTCTTCTTCTTCTTCTTCTTCTTCTTCTTCTTCTTCTTCTTTATTATTATTATCGTCATCATTGTTGTTATCACGTCATCATTAAGCATAAGTGTAGCCCAGGTTCAAGTGTCAGTATTGTGTCAGCCTACTGTCAGCTTGATGTCAGCCCGGGGTGTCAGGAGGCTCTGTTAACATAGTATCCCCATGATAATATCTCTCAGTATGAGGAGGTTGGTGTTCCCGTAGTGTGATGATTGTGTCAGCTTAGTGTCAGCCCTGGGTGTGGGAGGTGCAGGTGTAGAGTGTCAGCCATGGGTGTGGGAGGCAGGTGTAGAGTGTCAGCCATGGGTATGAGAGGGACAGGTGGAGAGTGTCAGCCATGGGTATGAGAGGGACAGGTGTAGAGTGTCAGCCATGGGTATGAGAGGGACAGGTGTGAGAGTGTCAGCCATGGGTAAGAGAGGGACAGGTGTAGAGTGTCAGCCATGGGTATAAGACAGGGTGTAGAGTGTCAGCCATGGGTATAAGAGGGACAGGTGTAGTGTCAGCCATGGGTATGAGAGAGACAGGTGTAGAGTGTCAGCCATGGGTATGAGAGGGACAGGTAGTGTCAGCCAGGTATGAGAGGGGAGGTGCAGCATAGCATGGGGTCCCGTGTACTAAAGGTGTGTGTGTGTGTATCTTGAGAAAGCTAACATTACCTACCTAGTCATTATTGGTGAAAGTCTTATAGTATTAACATAATGATACCGTTCCTCTGACCATAGCAGACTGTGCGTTAAGATAGTGTCAAGCGCAGTCATGTAGAACAGAGTGTGTTATTTAATTTGCTTGAGTACGATGATTTAAACCTCCTTTGAGTACGATGATTAAACTCTTTGAGTACGATGATTAAACCTCCTTTGAGTACGATGATTTAATCCCTTTGAGGACGATGATTTAACCCTGAGTACAAAGTGGAGTTATGTAGAGTACAGTGCCATTAACTGCTTGAGTACATCCCCAGAGTACACCACCATCGGTTTGGTCACTTATAAAACTATTTACCACAACAAATAGTCAAATCGAGAAGCATCACCTGTATATATACCTTAACACCTGTCAGCCTGTGTGTGTGTGTGTGTGTGTGTGTCTGCAGATGTGTGTGTGTGTGTGTGTGTGTGTGTGTGTCTGCAGATGTGTGTGTGTGTGTGTACGAGGAAGGAATATCCAGGTATGAACGTCTAAGTACCACGAATCATCAACAACAACCATCATAAAACACTTAACATAACCTAACAACCTAACCTAACCTAACAACCTAACCTAACATAACATAACCTAACCTAACAACCTAACATAACCTAACCTAACCTAACCTAACCTAACCTAACATAACATAACCTAACCTAACAACCTAACCTAACCTAATTGGCTTCGTGCGAGATTCGGTCATTTAGTTTGTGCACCAACTATAACATACACTACCCCCCTCCTTGTCTACTACAAACACAAACAAACAAACAGAGGGTCGTATACTGCCCCCTGGTACAACGCCGTGTCCTGGAGATTAAATATTCCGTCAGTAGCTCTAAATTGTCTCGTCCAGGGAGTGAGTGAGTCAGTCAGGAACGTAATACACAGAACTGCCAATCAACCCGTTATCCAGGTCAGTATTTATATAAGTGTCACCTTTAAATACTACAGAAAATGGAGAAGTTTGGATTACTTGTGTTAATTGTCTTCCTAACTGGCAATAAGAGACGGGATGTATAGTTACCGTTGTGTCTCGTTGTAGTTTAGATGTCATGCTGGTTGTGTCAATGACTCTGGAATGATCTTATGTTAATAGTGGCCCGTAAGATTTAATGGATGACCCGTGAGTAATTCAGGATTAAAATTAAGCTTTCCTTCCGTCCCTTAGATCACATTCTCAAACATCCATACGTTAAGTTTTTCCCTTCATGGTGGTAATAAAACACAATTAGTTATGGTTTTGTCTCGTAGCTTAAGTGAGAATCCATGTTGGCGTCACGTCTTAGGCAAGCTTATTATATTTCTTCTCATATCTCCTAGCTGAAGGGAATTGGTCTTAAGAACGTTAGAGAATCGATCTTTTACGTCGTAGCTTAAGTGAGATCGATAAATGTTTCTTCAATTCCTCAGTTTACGGGAAGAAGAATTTGACGAACATTCCTCCGAGAAATCCTATAGCCACTGTTTACACTTCACCTATAATGTTGACTCGTACCTACCAGAGGGGCGCGGGCTGTTCCCTCTTTCCTTCCGTCACACCCACGAGAATGCCGAACCCAGGCGACCCAAAAATGTACAGGAATATCACCTTTACTGATCTATGGAAGAAGGGACAATATTCTCCTCACATTATCCTTGAAAACTAGAACCATTTTAACATTGACCGTATGTTTTAGTGGGTCGGGCGAGTCATGTTAAGTGGGCGACCTTTTTAAACCCTGCTCTCTCTCTCTCTCTCTCTCTCTCTCTCTCATTAATTAGCAACTCACATCAACCTACGCGTCTTTGAGAATTTACGTTATGTTATGGTTCTCGAAATAAAATAACAAGCAGCTTATCCTTTCAATCATAAATAAATAAGCAAAACACACACACACACACACACACACACACACACACACACACATCTGCAGACACACACACACACACACACACACACAGGCTGACAGGTGTTAAGGTAAGTATACAGGTGATGCTTCTCGATTTGACTATTTATTGTGGTAAATAGTTTTATAAGTGACGGAGGTGCAGGTAAAAACTCGGTAATAGGACGTGGACCGGTTTAGAGGCGAGAGAAGCGAGAAGAAGAGAAAGAAAGAAAGAAGAACTCTACTACAGTATCATTTGATGGTTTTAATTAACAGTGATTTATAGATTTTAGATGACCTGTTTATTATTATTATTATTGTTGTTATTATTATTAGTGTGTGTTAATTATTTTGTTATTAAATTTGTAATTATTGTTTTCTCGTATGACAGCTTATTACTACTACTACTACTACTACTACTACTACTACTACTAATAATAATAATAATAATAATAATAATAATAATAATAATAATAATAATAAGACACATTCAGATCACTACTTTATAATCGTTGAAATTTCCGGGTTAAAATTCCACTATTTCTGTCTCTTGTTACCAGTATCTCCTCTCCATTCCTTCTCCCATCTCTAGTTCCTCTTCCTTTATCTCTTTCCTTGTATTTCTCACTTCTCTCATATCCTTCAATTTCCATTTCATTCAGTTTTCTCTATTTTTATCACTTCGCTTATTGTTCTCTCTCTCCCTCCTCTTCCCTCATCGTCCCTTGTCCTCGTCTCCATTTCACCTAAGTTTTTCTCCATTTCTCTTCTCTCGCTTTTTGCCCGTCTCTCAGCTCCGTCTCTTACCTGTATCTCCATCTCTCATCTATCCTTCTCTTCTCTCTCTTCTCTCAGCTCTGTCTTTTATCCTTATCTTCAGTTCTCCCATTCTTATTTCCCTCTCTCTCTCTCTCTCTCTCTCTCTCTCTCTCTCTCTCTCTCTCTCTCTCTCTCTCTCCGTCTTGCCATTCCAGGTCTTCTTGCGTGACTTGCAGTTTTCCTGGACACAGCTGACGGCGACACAACTCATGTACTGTTGTCTCACTCTTGGGGGTGCGGTACAGTGCCCTTCCTCTTATTACGTCTAAAACCTCTATTTAACGGACTATATGGAGATAAAATCCGCTATATCGAGGGTTTGTTAGATGTGAAACCTCTGTGTAATGAACTGTGTCGATATGAATGTCCGTTATATAGAGGGTCCGTTAGATTGTAAAACCTCCATTTAACGGATTATGTATATATGAAAGTCCGTTATAGCGAGGGTCTTTTAGATGTGAAACCTCTATGTAATGAACTATGTAGATGTGAAAGTCCGTTATATTGAGGGTCCGTTAGATTGTAAAACCTCCATTTAACGGATTGTGTAGATATGAAAGTCCGTTATAGCGAGGGTCTTTTAGATGTGAAACCTCTATGTAATGAACTATGTAGATGTGAAAGTCCGTTATATTGGGGGTCCGTTAGATTGTAAAACCTCCATTTAACGGATTATATGAAGATAAGTCCGTTATATGGAGGTTTCACTATACTTTTAAAACATATTCTTCTCATTTCAAAGTTAAATCTAGATAAG